AGACTACCTACGGATTTTTGGTTTTGCAAGACATCCCTACTTGTTAGTAAAGAAAGACTCAATTAGTATTGATAACACAAACAACAAATCAGATTCATAAATAACAAAGGACTAGACAAACACTAATTTGACATAGTAGCTAGTTTGACAAAATGTGGCTGTTAACCTTAACTAATTAATCTCCTTCACTCTTGTTGCCCTCCTCTTGCCTCTGATTCCTTCTCCTCTTTCCAACTAATGTCAACAATCCATTCATACTAATGTTATACATGCAAACATATATATGAACAGGGAAAATAATACTTTCTAAAAGAAGCATAAACTTTTTCATCAAACAATTTAAACTCAAAGGGATCCCGGATCCATGTAGATAAGTGTAGAGAAAGATGATGAAGACCTCACTAAGGGATATTGACCAAACATGGGTCTGTTTTGCACTTTTGCTTAAGTTAAGGACTAAAACAACTCTTTCCAGATAATACTGTTAGATCCTAGAAACTGATTTTGAATTAAGAACGATTGATCATACCTTGATACAAGTCAATCAAACCGAGACAACGAGACAATGCAAGAGCTGACATGATATAGGGACGTTATGCAAAACCTCAACCCTCTCAACAATTCCCCAAACTCCACCTCCATCACGCTTTTCTATAGCGATTTCAGCGCACCAAATCTTCTTCCTATTATTGGGATTATGCTTCATATACCCTTCCCATAAAAGTAAGAGTTTCCCACCACAGCTAACTAGTTTAGTCGTATTACCACTTGAGCCACCATTCCTCATGTACATCTCATCTAGTGAGTCTAACCCTTCCAATCTTTTCCAATAATCCTTTTGTAAGTCATTGTCATACCACAACAAGCGCATATTCCAATAGCCATATGAAACATTCTCAATCATACATTCTGACTTCAACTTTTGTTTTACACGGCTTTCCCATTTACATTGCTTCGTGTGGTAAGCATACGTCTCGTTTACATTCCCAAACTGAATCGTTTCTTCAATCTCTGCAATACTGTAAATGGAACACTTACGTACCTCAGTATCCGGCTCAGGAAGGTGTTGCCAAGTCTTAGTCTTTGTATCGAACACCTCAGCCCATGGTTCGTCCTCTAATCCTTGGCACCCTCCCATTACATATATTTTCCCATCGTGGAAACATGCCAACGCATTCATTCGGACTATAGTCATGCTCGGTGCATCGCGCCAAGTGTGACTGCAACAATCAAGCACCCGCACGGTGGAGGATGGTTCAGAGTCGACTGGGCCGCCAATTACATAAATTTCTGAACCAACAACAACGGTGGCTTTTGATACAGATGTAAAATTAGACGAGGTAATCGGAACTAACATTGGTCCAGTTGTCTTCTTCTTCTTCTTCCTTCTCTTCTTAATCATGGAGTTGGCTAGGGTTCGATTAGGGTTAACCCATAGTCTAAGCCATTGGGGAAATTGATAACTGCGATCCCATAGACAGACATAGACACACTGTTCAGTGCTTCCGATGTGAGATCTGGCTGCGAAGAGCTCGGTGGAAGAGAGAATTGAACGGAAGCTTTTCGAAACGAGTGAGAGTGTTGGGTAGTATGACCTCGAGATCCGAGCTAAGCAGTTCACGAAGATTTCGTCAGGGAGAGAAGAAAGCGACGGAGATGACGACGACGATGGAGGTGATTGTGGTGGAGACGAATTCTTAGTCTTCTTCTTCTCCGGTGGTTCCACTTGGAGGTTCATAGCGACAGTGATTGCAATTAGCGGAAGTGACGGGATTTTGTGTAAAATGGGTCAAGTGAGAAAAAGACTAACATGAAGAGGACCTTTTTGGTTTATTGATAACAAAACAGCCCCTAACTAAAATTAGTTATTGAAAGGACCCCAAATTCACGAGAAACTATATACAACGATGAACTAAAAATACGGAAAAACGGTCTTTTTCCCCCCGAGAACTATTGTATCACGCCAGATAGAGTCCGTTCTTTGACCTCTGTCTATATGTCCATGAAACGGAAGTTAAACACTTATTTCCCCCCTAATTGGAAGTTCGATATCTTAATCTCCCCGATTCGTGGTTACGTCGGTTTGATGTGTAAACCCGACACGAAACCATGTATGGGTCGTAACCAAACCAAAAAACAGACCGGTTTCCTTATTATAACCCGACATCCCGACCCATTGTCGTAACCAAACAAAAAATCCCCAATTCCCAAATTCAAAATCCCCAAATTCAAAACTCAAGAACCCTAAAATCCGATTTCTCTTTGAAAACCCGAATTTGAGTTTGAAGATGAGCAATCTATCATCGAGTTCGACGGGTTCTACAGGTCCTCGTGGAAGAGGAAGAGTGGTCGGAGTGCCAAAGAGCTGCTGGTGCGGAGAAGGAATCGTGGCATTGATTTCTAAATCCGATCCGAATCCTTACCGGAGATACTTTCGTTGCGGTTTTGCTGCAAAACATAGGGTAATGTCAATCTCTATTTCCTCTGTTTTCATGTTTTAGATTCTTCTAATATTGAAAGATCACTGTTCATATCTAGCTAAGGAACGATGATCACACTTTCAAATGGGTTGATGAAGCCTTGCTCAATGAGTTAGAGACATTGAGAGGAAAGAATTGTGAACTTGAGCTGGAGTTGAAAGAGCTTAGAACAGAGAGGTTAGAGTTTGATAAGAAGGTTTCCGAGAATGTCCAAATGAAGATAGAGAAGGAGTTATTTGAGAAGGTGGAAGATGCTTTGTCTGAAGCCAAAACAAGCAATAAGAAGATGATGATTGTAGTAGTGTTAGGGTGTATGATTATGATTGGATTCACCAAACTTGTAGGATGAATGATCCGATGAATGTAAACCCAAGCTTTCTAATATCTTATGTCTTTGTCTTTGTAATATGATCATGATTGGATTTATGTTTCTACTTTTGGTGGACTAGTGTGTAAGAGAATTATGTCTTTGTCTTTGTAATATGATCATGTTTGTACTCTTGTTTGATTTATGTGTAAGAGAATGCATTTAGTAATCTTGTTTGTTCTTTTGTTAAAGAAAAAGAACATCCAATTAGCCATTTTGATCAAAATAAGTTAAAGAAAAAGAGGAATCCGGATAACATTCAAAATAGCATTCATCCTAAACATCCATTTAGCCGTAGAAACAAAACATCCATTTAGCCGTAGAAACAATGTGGTCGAAAATTACAATGAGACAACCACAATATAAGTACCCTAGTTCTTCTACCCTATGACAGTCTTCTACTCCTTGGATCAAGCTTGAGTGAGTGAACCTTGACTTGGTTCAGGTTGAGAAGGCTGCGAGACAAAATGAGAAGCCTGCAAAATTACATCAAGTGTTAGTATAATCCAACAAATGCCACAAACACAACAAGAATCTCACATACCTTATCTTTAGCATGGTGTCTTGAATTGTGATCAGCTTGCCCACAAACACGACAATGCATGATTCTTTTCTTTGCCTTTGGCTGCTTCTTACTAGGAGACTCATTCAAACCCTTTTTTCTTTTTTCTCAGCTTTTGTCATCTTGTTGTCTTCTCCTTCTACTGACTCAGGCACATGGACTCTAGGCCTATGACTCTCAGGCCAGAACTTAGGTCCTCTTTGTGGACAGACGCCATCCGTGTAGTTTCTTTTCCACATTGCTGTCCTGAACCATTGACACACAAAGTTCTCAGGTTCAAGCTTCTTGTAGAGAATGACTCCATATGCATGCTCACACGGGATGCCACAGATCTGCCACTTCCTGCATGTACAAGTGTATGCCTTTAAGTCTACTCGGTGATAATCAGAACCATGCCTCACTTCATACATTCCATTGGTGCTTGTAGATACTTTGGCAGTAGAAGCGAGCTTGTGTTCACCAGCTAGAAACTTGGCAACATAAGGTGTACATGCACCTGCAAAAAAAGATATAAAAGCTGTCAAGTAAACAACAAAGATTAAGTAAACAACAGAGATTAAGAGAGAAGCTTACCTGTGTGAGTATGGGATTCTACAGACCTTTTGGCAATCCTTACCATGGCCATTCTTCTGATAGTCTCTAACATTGCAACAAATGGCTTCTCTCTTGCCTTGTTCAAAGATCCATTGAAAGACTCCACTGAGTTGTTGTCAACATCCTCACAGAAGCTGCCTACTTTCTGGAATGCCCTGGACCAACTCCTTGGATTTGTTTTCATCACATCATTGTAGATAACACTGTCATAGCAGAATATCTTCTCCAAGTGCTGCTTAAAATCTTTTTCATTATAGGCCCAAGCCAAATCCCAGAGCAGTGGCTTTATCCTGGTTTTACTACCATGAGTCTTCTTTAAGTTCCCATAGATGTGTTGGACACACATCCGATGCTCTATATTAGGTAACTCAAGCTGAACAGCTTTGATTAAACCCTGAAACAAAAAAAACAAACATTAGCTAAGACAGGAGTGAAATGACAAAACAAAACAACAAAAGACAAGAGCAGTTACCTTTTGTCTATCAGACATCATGATGAACCCTTCACCATTGCTTAAACCCAAGTCCTCTTTCAACAGCTTCACAAACCAAACCCAATTGTCTGTGTTCTCTACCTTAACCACACCCCAAGCTATAGGATAGATCCTATTGTTAGCATCCCTACCTAATGCTACCAGTAACTGTCCCTTAACCTTATTCTTTAGAAAACAGCCATCAATACCTATCAGAGGCCTACAAGAATCCTTCCATGTTCTTCTAAGGCTGTCAAAACAAACATAGAACCTATTAAAGATGTCTTTACCATCATCAGTCGTCAGACAATCTACCTCAACATGTGACTCCTTGTTTGAATCTACAATCTCAGCCGCATAGTCCCTTAGCCTTGCAAATTGATCATCATACTCCTTCTCAATCCACTGTAACGCTTTCTTCCTCGCAGACTGACATTGATTCCTAGTCACACTAATCTTCCATTGTTCCAAGATGATTTCTTCAATCTTTGCCGGCATGTAGAACTCGGGATTATCCCTAATCTTGTCGACAAACAACCTAGCTATATGAGGCACCTTAAACATCTCACATTCTCCATTTGGGATACAGCTATGTTTGTCAATGAATTTCCTAATCTTCCACATTTGATCCTTCGGAAGTATTGCCGCATAAACTTGCCATTCACACCGAGCTCCATCCTCCTTACCATCATTTCCAACACATTTGAATCCAATCTTATCACTATCATACATGTACTGCTTCAGATTGCATCCGGTTCTGAGAGCGTAATCAACAACCGCCTCTTTGAATGCAACTCCACTGAAGAAACTCTGCTTCGAGTACAAATGGCCATCACCACGCCTTACATGTGTATCAAATCTTCCAGGTTCGTCGTCGTTTTCTTCATTCTCACTCTCCGGGTACACATCGTGGCGGATTGGTGGTTCGTCGGTCCACTCCCTTAGCATCTCTTCCATGTGAAATTCATCTCTGTCATTAGCTTCAGGATCGACATCGCCGACGGCTTCGGCTTCGCCGAGAACATCAGGATCATGAGGAACTACCGACATCTCCAAGATTTTGAGCAGCAGATCGAAGAGCTTCGATTTTCGATTCTGAGTTTCTAGGGTTCGTCGAGAAATTTCGTTTTGGGGTAAGTGAATGAAATCGGGTTGTAATCGGGTAGTAATTAGGTTTATTTCGGTTCGAATTAGGTTTAGTCGGTTTAATTAGGTTTCGATATACAGTAAACCGAGTAAACCCAGCACGATGGGGTTATACATCTCCAGCTTTCAGAATCGGGGAGATTAAGATATCGAACTTCCAATTAGGGGGGAAATAAGTGTTTAACTTCCGTTTCATGGACATATAGACATAGGTCAAAGAACGGGCTCTATTTGGCGTGATAAGCATACTTCTCATGGGGAAATAGACCGTTTTTCCTAAAAATACAACCCAAATGTTTTATATTTTACCAATTTGTTCTCTACTTTTGTTCTCGATCACAGAATGCTTTTTTCTTCAAAACAAAGAATTCATGATGACGTTACAGTGTTAAAACAAAGTTTGAAAGATGTTAAAGACACAATTCATGAGGAGGCTTTCTAACTGATGTCAGAGATCACAGAACTCTACACAAAGTTTGAAAGATGGTTAGATCATCTTCATGAGAAGAAACTGTGTTGATCATGAGGCGAAAAGTAATCGATGTTTGGTTCGTGAAGGATGATCCCGAAAGGGTTAATAGAAAAGATCATACCTACAGCTTTTTGGTTTTTCAAGACATCCCTACTTGTTAATAAAGAAAAACTCAATTACCAGTATAACACAAAACAACAAGGGATTAGATGAATATACCAAAAGACGAATACTAATTTGCCATAGTAGCTAGTTTGACAAAATGTGGCTGTTAACCTTAACTAATTAATCTCCAACTCTTTGTTGCTCTCTTCCTTTGGCCTCGGCTTCCTTGTCATCTTTCCAACTGGTCAACAATCCATTCATATAATGTTATACATACTAACATCATATATGTACAGGGCAAAATACTTTCTAATCTCCAATTTAGAAAAACCGTATAGAGGAAGCATGCACTATTTCTTTAAACAAAATGAACTCAAAACTTAGCCAAAAGGGATCCATGTAGGTCAGTGTAGAGAAAGATGATGAAGACTTAACTAAGAGATATTTGATCAAACATAAGTCTGTTTTGCTAAAGTTAAGGACTAAAACAACTCTTTCCTGATACTACAGTTAGATCCTACAAACTGATTTTGAATTGATCATACCTGGATACAAGTCAATCAAACCGAGACAGCGAGACAATGCAAGAGCTGACATGATGTGGGGACGGTATGCAAAACATCAAACCACTCAACATTTCCCCAAAGCTCATCTCCATCATGATTTTCTATCCCGATTTCCGCGCACCAAATCTTCTTCCTATTGTTGGGATTATGCTTCATATACCCTTCCCAAATAAGTAAGAGTTTCCCACCACAGCTAACTAGTTTAGTCGTATTATGACTTGAGCCACCATTCTTGCTGTACCTCTGTAGTAGTGAGTCTAACCCTTTCACCTCTTTCCAATAACCCTTTTTTTTGCCATACCACCGGAACTGGCCTTGACGATATATACCACCCTCGGAAGCAAAGGAGAAGGATACATTCTCAATCATACATTCTGGCCTCGCATACGTTGCATATTTGTTTACACGGTTTTCCCATTTACATTGCTTCGTATCATAAGCATACATCTCCTTTAAAGTCCCAAAGTGAATCTGAATCTTTCCTTCAATCTCTCCGATACTGCAAATGTAACTCTTACGTGCCTCAGTACCCGGATCAGGAAGGTGTTCCCAAGTCTGAGTCTTTGTATCAAATACCTCGGCCCATGGTTCATCCTCTAATCCTTCACACCCTCCCATTACATAGATTTTCCCATTGTAAACATAAATGATTGCATTCTTCCGGGCTACGGTCATACTAGGGGCATCACGCCAAGTGTGACTGCCACAAGTGAGGACCCTCACAGCAGAGGAAGGTGCTCTATCGATAACATAAATTTCAGAACCAACAACTACGGTGGATTGTGATACATATGGAAAATTAGAAGAGGTAACTGGAACCATAATTATCTTCTTTTTCTTCCTCTTCTTCTCAATCATGGAGTTGGCTCGATTAGGGTTAGTCCAGAGTGTAAACCATTTCGGAAATTGATAACTTTTATCCCGTAGACAGACATAGACACACTGCTCGGTGATTCCGATGTGAGATCTCGCTGCGTAGAGCTCGGTGGAAGAGAGAATTGAGCGGAAGCTTTTCGAAACGATTGAGAGTGTTGAGTAGTACGACCTTGAGATCCGAGCTAAGCAGTTCACGACGATTTCGTCTGGGAGAGAAGAAAACGACGGAGATGACGGCGACAGAGTTGGTGACGAATCATTTGTCGTCCTCTTCTTCTTCTTCTTTTCCGGTGGTTTTGCTAGGAGTTTCATAGCCACAGCCCACAGTGATGACTTTCGCGAAAACTGGGTCAAATGAGAAAAACAATTTTCATATGAAGGAACTTTTTGGTTTTGGTTTTGGTTTTATTAATTACAAAATAGCCCCCAACTTAAAATTAGTTAACTAAGACACCCAAATTGATTGAAATGATATAAAAAAAATTTGTTTTTTATACCATTTCTAAACGGGAAAAATGTCGTTTTATCTCTCAACTTTCAAAAAGTGGCCAATCAATACGTCAACTTCATATGTGGCCATTTAAAACATGAAATAAACGTTGACTAACGTTTGAGACATGGAAATTCGTTGACCAGGCCAAAATAGACATGCCGTTATCAGTCGTTAACGGAACCTCTAACGCCCGTTATCACCCGTAACGACTCTGTTAATCAACTTTCAAATTGTGGCCATTTTAAACATCAACTTTATATATGGCCATTTAAAACATGAACTAATCGTTGACTAACATTTGAAACATGAGAATTCGTTGACCAGGCCAAAATAGACATGTCGTCATCATTCGTTAAAAAAACCTATAACATCCGTTATCACCCGTTAACAACTCTGTTAGTATATCCAAAACGACGTCGTTTTGAAAATAATCAAGAGAAAATCAGGACAAATTTTTTGTTTAAAGCATAATCCAAGGACATGGTTTGATATATAGACAATCGTAGAGCCAGTAATTGGAAGCAAACATCGTTTATATATTTGTTTTAAATCTAAAAAGGAATCATGGAAGCAAACTTGTAGACCCATCATAGGACTAAAATAGGCATGGGCGTTCGGATATTCGGGTCGGGTTCGGGTTGGGTTTTTTGGGTTTGGGTTTTTCGGGTTTAGAAAACTAAGATCCATTCGGGTATTTTAAAACTTCGGGTTCGGGTCGGGTTCGGATCGGGTATTTCGGGTTCGGATTCAGGTTTACCCAAAGTATCCAAATATTAGAAATTTTGTATCCGATCCTATGCAAAGTATTGAAAAATAATAAAAAAAAATCTATAAAACCCAAGTATTTTAACCCGAATCTAACCCAAAGTAGCTAAAACACCCGAAAATATCTTAACATCCGAATAATTTTGGCACTTAGGTTATTACAAGTATAAATATTACTAATATATTATAACTATGTACTTATATTTTGGGTATGTTCGGGTACTTGTTCGGGTTCGAGTTCGGGTTTTCGGGTTGTCAAGTTTAGAATCCATTCGGGTATTTTAAAACTTCGGGTTTGGGTTCGGGTCGGATTTTTCGGGTCGGGTTCGGTTCGGTTCTTCGAGTTCGGGTATTATGCCCAGGCCTAGACTAAATGTAGCTTTTCTGAAATGGAGATAGAGATAATAGGACTATTCATCTTGTTTGAGCTGTTGTAGAAATAGATTTGGGGATTTGGTGTTTTCATTTGGGAAAAATCTTTTTGGACATACTAACAGTGTCGTTAACGGGTGATAACGGATGTTATAGGTTCAGTTAACGAATGATGACGACATGTCTACTTTGGCCTGGTCAACAAATTCTAATGTTTCAAATGTTAGTCAACGATTAGTTCATGTTTTGAATGGCCACATATGAAGTTGATGTTTAAAATGGCCACAATTTGAAAGTTGATTAACAGAGTCGTTACGGGTGATAACGGGCGTTAGAAGTTCCGTTAACGACTGATAACGGCATGTCTATTTTGGCCTGGTCAACGAATTTCCATGTCTCAAACGTTAGTCAACGTTTATTTCATGTTTTAAATGGCCACATATGAAGTTGACGTATTGATTGGCCACTTTTTGAAAGTTGGGAGATAAAACGACATTTTTCCCATTTCTAAACAAGTTTGCTTATTTCCCAATTTGCTATCTACTTTTGTTTTCGATCACATAAGCCCCTAATCCGCCACATGAGCTTCGAAGTTTCAATGTGATTGCAGTAAAACCAAACTTCAAACAAACATTGTTTTTCAACCGTGGAGATTGCAAACTGTAACATATTAAACAGAAAGCTTTTATTTTTCTCCTAACATAGAACATAACATCACTAACAATGTTAAAGACAACAATTTAAGCTTATTTGGTAAAGATGATTCTAACTTTCTGAAGGCAGAACTCAACTCATGTGTAAAAGATTTGATCTTTGATAAGATGTTTTTCATTTGGAGAATCTGTGTCGATCATGAGGGGATGTGTAATCGATGTTTGGTCCATGAGGGATGATTCCGAAAGGGTTGATCGACGGGTGGCTTCCATAGTAATGCTGCTTGATGTGATTCATGTTCACCGTGCTACTCATACCCGGGATTTGGAAAATGTCTTTCGTGTAGTTGAAAAGATTCGGATACTCCCTTATCAGTTTCTTGTTGCATTTGAAGTGGACTGCATAAACCTGCATCAACGTTTCAACATTACAGATTTGTTCGCATATTGTGTGTTTCTTTTTCTTGGTTTGGAAGTATGAACTCGAATCTATTACCTCGTCAAATCTTATAAGGGTGACAAACAATCTTATATCTGTTTCAGTCAAAGTGTTGCCACAGATGTACCGATGTTTTCCAAGAATCTCCTCGCATCTATCTAATGCTTCATACACTTGCTCAACTGCCTGCATATAAGAACCATAACTTTACATTCTCATGGGATCAATTAGCATATACTGTAATAGCTGTTCATGGCTTCCGCACTTACCTCCTCATAAGGTCCTTGTTTCTTTGCAAACCCGCATCTATAGACACCGTTATTTATCCCATTGTAGATCCATTCATTAGTTTCATCGATTTTAGCTTGGAGATGAGAAGGGTAAAGGTCGAGATCAGGATTTCCAGCAATATGATTGAACTCAGTGTTGAACATCCGGATTATTTCTGCACTCTCGTTGTTAACAACAGTTTTGAGCTTCTTATCCCACAGAACCTGACATAAAAACCGAAACTCACGATCACCTACTTCCGACTGAAGGAGACTTAAAAGACATTGAGAAGCCAAAAGACTTACAGGAACAGTATACTTCCCAGTGTAGTTTGGGCTAGCAATCTCATAGAGTTCTCTTACACTCTTAGCACCATTAAGATGATCAGGATCAGCGCCTTGAACCTCGGTATCTGAACTCGGAAAGACCCATCCCATATGCTCATCGGTTTCTTTAGTTCTTCCCCAAATGGGTTTTACAGACTAATGGAAATAAAACAAAGAACAAGCCAATCAATACAGTCGGGAAATGGTATGGTTCTACATGACAAGAAGCAGTGTTAAAAGGTTGAGTCTACGCACCGAGAAGCTTATTGCATCGTCAAGTCCTTTGATCTTCAAGTATGAAAGACATCTAGAAGCCCATGGACAAGCATACGATATGTAAAGATGGTATCTACCAGATTCAGCTGGAAATTGAGAATTTGAATCTCTTGAAACAAAGTTTCGAAATGTTGATGCAGTTCTTTGAAAAGCTCCTGAATCTGATGTCTCATCAACCGCAGATCGAGCCATTGATAATGTACACTGATGACAAATCAAAAGCAGGGGACCAAATTTCAGTATGAGAAAAAGAGGTTCATGAACAAAAACAGAACATAGTAGTGTATGGACCCAAACCGATCAAAAATTGATAACTTTTAGCTCAAAATCAGTTTTTCTTTTGGAAATTCTCAGAATTTGATTCATCTTGGAGACCATACCCAGATCAAACACAAACCCAGAAAACCTGTAAGAATCTAATGCAAGTATGCACAAAGAGAAATGGAATTTTGGAAATCAATGAAACTCAATCTTGATGTTATGTACCTGAAGACGAGATCCACGAGTAGTGAACTTTGAAGCGAAAGCGAGGAAGCTGGTGTTGCTAATGATCGTGGAATAAGACATCAACCAGGAGCTATATAAGTTAAATATTCACCTGATCCAGTTTATATGTATACATAGTCCATAATGGTTAGAGAGTCAATTTTGGCAACCAAGTATGTCACTGCTTTTGTCACCTGTGATAATTTGGATGCTTTCGGAGGAATATTCAATTCTAAATAGTACAAACCTTTGCAATAAAAAAAACAAAAAGTTTCTACTTACTTTTACAAAACCAACTTCTCTTTTGTCAGAATTTTTGTACTTTTACATCAGTAAGAACTTCCTCAACCAACATGATCAAACAATTCAAGAAGAAAGGCAACAGAGAGGTTTAACTCGGCCATTCAAGGCTGTGGAATTGCCACAGAGCAAAAAAGAGAGGTCTTGTTGTTCAGTTTCTAAAACCTTGATAGATAGATTCACACCCATGTCTTGGCTACAATAGTCGAAATCCCACTCTCCAGTCTTTCTACTTATCAGGCGATAAAAAACCAATATGATTCAGAAAGCAACAACAGCATTCCATGTCCTTGCCTCAACGCGGTTACATTCCACGGTTTCTTGGTCCACTAAGTGGATTTGCTATTCAAACAGAGAGCACAAAGCAACTGAGGGAGATGTAACCACTACTAGCCTACTCCTCTGGAGATTCTCTCGGTCAAATCAGCAACAAGATTGTTTTTGCCAGACTCAGAACAAGCTGTAGTGAAAGCAGCTAAGGTAACACGATCAGCACTACTGTCCTTCTCCAACAATTTCTGAAAGAACAGAGCTGCCACTCCGACTTTCTTCTCACTACACAACTTTCTCACAAGTGTCCTAACAGTTCTAATCCATAGTTTCTTATCTAGAGGTTCAAGCACAATCATTGCGCTGGCTGAATCATTCCTCTTACAATACTCATATGCTAATGTGACTCGAGTTACCTCAGGAGGAGATAAACCTCTGTCAATCATCGCTTCGTAAAGCTTACAAGCTTCATCTACCATGGACTTCTTGCAGAGACCACTTATTAGTGAACCATAAGTGAAGCTATCAGGAACACAACCATGCCTCTTCATGTTGTGAAAATATTTCAAAGCCAGATCAAAGTCGCCTTCTTTACAATACCCGCTTATCATAGACGTATAAGTCTCCTTCGTTGGAACCAATCCAAGACTCACTACTAACTGAAAAAGCCTCTCACTTTCCTTCATTTTCTTTTGCCTACAAAATGCAGCTATCAGTATGTTGTTCAGGCGCATATCGGCTTCAAAACCAGTCTTATTCATCCGACAGAAAAAAGCAAGAGCTTGCTTAATGTCACTTTGCTTACACTGTTCTTGAATAAGAATAGTGTAAGTAACTCCATCAGCTTCTAATCCACAAGAAAATGCTTTATTCAACAACTCATATGCCTCAGGTGCCCTTGATTTTTTACAGAGACTGTCTATAACTGCATTATACGTATAAATATTCGGCCTAAAGCCTTCATCATCCATCAAATTCATCAACTCGTACGCTCTATCAAAGTTTCCTGCTTTACAGTGACCATTGATGAGTGTTGTATACGTGTTCACGTTAGGAAACAAACCCTGCTCTTTCATTCTACTAAACAACATCTCTGCACGGTTCAGCTTATCCTCTTTGCAATACCCACCAATCATCGAAGTATAGGTATGCACATTGGGTTTGTAAATATCACTACGAACGAGTTTCAGGAACAACCTAAACGCTTTCTCAGTCCATCCTCTTTTACATAGCCCATCAATCAAAGCCGTGTGTGTATACACATTTGGCTTCCAACCATTCCTAACCATTTCTTCTAACATCTCAAAAGCCTGCTTTATACTTCCCTTCTTGCATAACCCATCAATCAAAGACGTAAAATTTATCAAGTTTGGCTTAAACCCTAAATCAATCATCTTCCGGAAATACCAAATCGCTCTATTTACTAAACCATTCTCACACAAGGCACTAAGAATCAAGGTACACGTAGCGTTATCAGGAATAAATCCTCTTTGAATCATTCCGCTTAACCATCTATCAGCTTCCTGAATCTTACCATCTCTAAAACAACCAATAACCATAAGCTTAAAAGAACTAGAATCCGGACAAACTCCTCTCACAGACATTTCGTCGAACACGTTCTCTGCATAATCAATCAAACCTGACTCAATCGCAATCTCAAGAACACAATTCATAGTTATCGAGCTAGGTGATAATCCCTGATTCTGCATATCCATAACCATACCAACAGCCTCGTTCAATCTCCCAATCTCCGAGAAATTTCTAAGCATACATCGCATTACCTCGTGAGCTTTCTGCAAATTCCCATTAGCAATCAAAGAATCAGCAGTTACGAGATACAATCTCATGAAATGTCGGAACTTTTCGAAACCCACTGCCCAATAGAAGAAACAAAGAGCAACCATCGAACCAGATTCGCTCGCGAGTGAAGCCACCACAGTAATCGCTTGCTCGTGGGTAAGAGAATTAGCATCGAAGTCGAGATTGACACGGTGTGGGGATTGTATGACATGGTTTTGACGAAGATAGGAGTTATAGACCAATGAACAGACTGATTTCACGAGAGATTGAGAAGGTGGCGATGATGGAGAAGAAGAAGGAGGAGACACATCACTGGATTCGTGATCGGAAGAGATCAATCTGAAGAAGAAAAGAGAGCAGAGAGAATTGGGTATCTCAATAGGTCTAAGAAGGAATCGATTTGACCTAGAAAGAAGAGAGAACATTGGAGCTTCAATGGCCTTGCATAGAGAGTGAGAGAGAGTTGAAAAAATGTTATCTTTATATAAATGGTTTTATACCAAAAAAATAGTTTTATAATACATCGGAGCATCTGATACAAGTATGATCAAGCAACCTAGCCACAAGGCTCTCAGATTCAGGGATCAGTGAGGAAGTTATGCTGTTCCAGAAATGGAACGTTAAGGACTCGTTGAGGATCTTCTTGAACGATTCGTCTTGCTGTGATTTCTCATCTTCTATTGCAGGGTATGCATAATAGCTGCTCCACCAAAATCAAAACAGGATCAAAGTTAAAAGCTTTGCTCAATCAAGGAACTTGTTGAACAAAAAGTCATAGAGAGAGCTTTACTTTGTTATCTGTTGTGAGCTGATTGGGAAGAAAACAGAAGACGGTCGAATGTTCAGCTCCTGTTGAGTCATACGCCGATTCTTCCCGTTTAAAAACCGTTTAGCTACTCGAGTCAAGAGATCAGCTCCGTTGCATCGCAAACACTTATCATCATAAGTTAAGTAGTACTCGTTCAAGCATTCAAGTAAGAATGGGCTGCAGAGAGAGGTTACAAGTTGAAACATCAGACATAAACATTGTTGGTTACTAAGATGGGAATCGATGTTTCTAATGTAGCAAAGCATATTGATTTGTGTTAATGAACCTTTTCTTTTCGAATGACATAACAGCACCGTTGAGTGATTCACCGGCTGCTTGATCCTCCATGCCAATAGTATTTCTCAGTGACGATAATGAACCCAAAACTATCACATCAGAATCGAGATAAACCCCGCCATATCTGCATCAATATGCAATCACTAAGCAATCATGCTTCATTTCTCAAGTAACAAAAGTGATCAATTATTTGATAAGAGATTAGAGAGTGATCAAGATTTACTTATAAAGGGCGGCAAGCCGAACAAGTTCACTGTAGTGAGTAGGATAAAACTTTGGTTTTCTCCAATCGAACCATACAGAAGCAAATACGTGAGTAGGAGTATCCTGCAGCAACTCATCAAGATTGGGCATTGCCACAGCTACTTTATAACTGCAACATAGAGAAACGAATCAATCAAACTATTACTAAATGGAGGCCTAAAGAGACAGCATTCTGTGTTATTCACTAACCCGTCTTTCACAAAGCTGTTCCGGAAGAAATCAAGCTCAACAGTCTATGAGAAAACTACAACACAAGCATCTCGATGCTGAGAAGGGAAAAAATTAAACAAAATATGTCAAGAAAGGGACTCGAACACAGGTAAGGGAGGTCAATGGACACAAAAATACCAACTCAGCTGCTGTTTCTTTATTGAATTCTTACACATAAAAAAGGTTATATCATTACTTTACCAGTATTGAGGATATAACCGGTCCAATGTTATTGGTTAACTTCGGTTTACAGAGCTGAGATTAATACTCGGTTTAATGCCATGTATATAAGTTTAATGACTCTCATTTTGATGATTAAGTTGTTGTAACAAACATTTGAATGTTTAAGAAAAGTTTGTTATCTTCTTCGATCTTCTCTCATTTTCCGATCTAGTTTCTCCGATGTATCGGAGTTTATTATGGTATCAGAGCACAAAATGAAGATTCCGCATTCGTTGTGTTCATCGGAAGTGAGTTGTGATTTCTCTTTTTCGTTTTCTTGTTGATTCTTTTGATTTCGTTTCTTCGCGATTTGCGATTCTCTTTTCCGGTCACCGGAATCTTATTTTCCGTTCTGTTTCTTTCTTTTTCTTTCATTGACCTATAGCGACGACGATTCTCTTTCTTTTACAACAAATTCGTCTCGTTTTTCTTTGAAATTTCTTGTTCTTACACTGAGAATGGGATCTTTTGTACCTCCACCTGTGATTCCGGTGCCTCGTACTCCGTCAAGTGTTGATCATTATGAGAATCCGTATTATCTTCATAGTACGGATCATGCTGGTCTTATTTTGGTTTCGGATCGACTTACGACTGCTTCTGATTTTCATTCTTGGCGTCGATCGATCTTAATGGCTTTGAATGTCAGGAACAAATTGGGATTTATCAATGGTACGATTTCTAAACCACCTGAAGATCATAGAGATTTTGGTGCTTGGTCTAGGTGTAATGATATAGTTAGTACCTGGTTAATGAATTCAGTTGATAAAAAGATAGGACAGAGTTTACTCTTCATAGCTACTGCTCAAGGTATATGGAATAATTTGCTGTCAAGGTTTAAGCAAGATGATGCTCCAAGAATCTTTGATATAGAGCAGAAATTAAGTAAGATAGAGCAGGGTTCAATGGACGTCTCTACATATTATACTGCTTTGCTTACTCTGTGGGAAGAACACAGAAACTATGTTGAGCTCCCAGTTTGTACCTGTGGTCGTTGTGAATGTGATGCTGCAGTGAAATGGGAAAGTTTACAACAGAGGAGTAGGGTGACAAAATTTCTTATGGGATTGAATGAAGGTTTTGATCAGACTAGACGTCACATCTTGATGCTTAAGCCTATTCCAACAATAGAAGAAGCTTTCAATATTGTAACTCAAGATGAACGACAGAAGAATGTTAAACCTCCTACTCGTATAGACAATGTGGCTTTCCAGAATAGTACTCAAATGATGTCAGAAGGTGATAATGCATATGTTGCAGCATATAACACAGTAAGACCGTCTCAGAAGCCTATGTGTACTCACTGTGGGAAAGTGGGACACACAATTCAGAAATGCTATAAGTTGCATGGTTATCCACCAGGAATGAAGATTGGCAATGGAAATTATCAGTACAAGACTAATCCGCAGTTGCTTGTTCAACCAAGAATGCCTATGATGCAGGCTCCAAGGATGCAGTATCCAGCACAAATGCCAATGATGCCATATGCTAATTCAATGCAGAAAGCAAATGCAGTGGCACATGTATATGCAGAGTCAGGAGCTTATCCATCAGAGGCATACAATCAGGCATCAATGGTTAATCCATATAGTGCTTATGGTTCCTATACAATGCCTCATGTTACACAGGGTGGAAACAATCTGAATTTACAAGAATTTACTCCTCAGCAAATCGAACAGATGATTTCTCAATTTCAGGCTCAAGTTCAAGTTCCAGAGCCTGTAGCTTCTTCGAGTAATCCTAGTCCTTTGGCTATGGCAACAGTCTCTGAACATGGTCTAATGGCAGAAACTTCAACTTCTGGTACTATAATCCCTTTTCCTTCTACTAGTTTAAAATTTGAAAACAATCATCTTACTTTCCAAAATCATATTCTATCATCTCTACAAAAATTCATACCACAAGATGCTTGGATTATAGATAGTGGAGCTTCTAGTCATGTATGTTCAGACTTAGCAATGTTTAGAGAATTAAGGCCTGTCTCTGGTGTGACTGTAACTTTGCCAAATGGTACTAGGGTTTCTATTACTCATATAGGTACTATTCATATTACTCATAAACTCATACTGCATAATGTTTTGCATGTTCCAGATTTCAAGTTTAATTTGATCAGTGTTAGTTCTTTGGTAAAAACTTTATCATGTTCAGCTCATTTCTATGTTAATTGTTGCTTTATCCAGGAACTTTCTCAGGGCTTGATGATTGGGAGGGGTAGACTTTATCACAATCTTTACATTCTTGAGACAGAAACTACTTCCCTCTCCACATCAACACCTGCAGCTTGTTCTTTCTCTGGATCAGTTCTTGATGATGGACTTCTTTGGCATCAGCGTTTAGGTCATCCATCATCTATAGTTTTAAAGAAACTTGTTAGTAGCATTCCCTCTTTAAAATCTTTTGATTCTGAAACTTCACCTTGTTGCATTTGTCCTTTAGCAAAACAGAAACGTCTAGCATACATATCTCATAACAATTTAGCTTCAAACCCATTTGATCTTGTTCACTTGGATATATGGGGTCCTTTTAGTGTTGAATCTATAGAAGGATTTAGATATTTTCTTACTTTGGTTGATGATTGTACAAGAACTACTTGGGTTTATATGTTAAGAAATAAACAAGAAGTTTCAAAAGTCTTTCCTGTTTTTGTCAAACTTGTTTCTACACAGTTTAATACAAAGATTAAAGCTATTCGTTCTGATAATGCTCCTGAATTAGGATTTAATGATTTAGTAAAAGAACAAGGTATGATTCATTACTTCTCTTGTGCTTATACTCCCCAACAAAACTCTGTTGTGGAGAGAAAGCATCAACATCTTCTTAATGTTGCAAGAGCTTTACTTTTTCAGTCAAATGTTCCTATGCAATATTGGAGTGATTGTGTTTTAACTGCAGTTTTCTTGATAAATAGATTACCATCACCTCTGCTAAATAACAAATCACCATTTGAACTTTTGCTTAAAAAGAATCCGGATTATACTTTGTTAAAGAACTTTGGATGTCTTTGTTTTGTTTCTACTAATATGCATGAAAGAAATAAGTTTTCACCGCGTGCTAGACCCTGTGTTTTCTTAGGCTATCCTTCTGGATATAAGGGATACAAAGTTTTAGATTTAGACTCACATGCTATTTCTATTTCACGAAATGTTGTTTTTAAAGAAAGTATTTTCCCTTTCAAAACAAGTGATTTGTTGTCTAAATCTGTTGACATGTTTCCTAATACAATTTTGCCTTTACCAGCACCTTTACACTTTGTAGAAACAATGCCATTGACTGATGAGGATTCTTTGGTTACTACTACTAATAATAATACTAGTAATGCATCATCATCAGCATCTGCATTACCTAGTACCATATTTCCTACTAGTACTGCAGAAACACAGGATTTAGGCCTTAATACTGTACCCATTGCTAGGCCTAAACGTAACACTAAAGCTCCTGCTTATCTCTCTGAGTATCATTGTGCCCTTGTCCCTTTCATTTCTTCACTACCATCTACAAACACTAATCCACCATCCTGTTCTCTTATTTCTCCTATCCCTACAGAAAATCATAATTCATCACCTAAAAAGACTACACCATATCCCATCTCTTCTGTTATCTCATATGATAAATACACACCTCTTTTCCAATCCTATATACTAGCCTATAATACAGAAACAGAGCCTAAGA